TAATAATAATAAAATAAAATAATATGATTTTTTTTTTTTTTTTAAGATATGACACAATTTCTCTTTCTTTTTAATAAATGTTGACCACCCTCCATAACAATATATTTTAAACCACCAACGTATCTATCTTTTTTCTTTTCTTCAATAGAAGCTAATAACATAGGAGCTTGTATACGAACAGTTTTTAAAGTTCCAACAACTTCATGATTTCCAGGACCATTATATTTCTTTTCATTTCTACCTTCAAATTCAACTTTTGGAGTGAAATTAGCATTTTTTCTTTTACGATCATTATTAAATAATTTATAGGTCCAAGAACCTTTGGTTTCTTCACAATCATCACAAGGTATTCTTACAGCACCATTGGTAACAAAGAAGGTTTTAATAAAAGGATGAGCCGAATCAGTATTACTATCAAAAGTATATAATCTCGTTTCTTTTTGTTCATAAGGAGAATCCCAAGTAGTATAAATTAAAGGTTCATTTAATGGATTTTCTCGAAGTATTCCATCCCCTCTTAATTTAAATCCCCATAATCTTTTATTATTAGGACCAACCATACCAGATCGTTGTGATGAATTTTGTTGAAATGTTGCAATTAAATTTTCATTATCTAATGATTTAAATCCAAGATCAAATGTATTATGTATTGGAACGAAATCTAATACGTATCGTGTAATCATTACCTATATTAAAAAGTAAAAAAAAAAAAGGTCAGTTAAAGGAAAAATGAGAAAAAAAAAAAAAAAAAATTTTTTCTTTTAAAAAAAAATATTTACCAGAATTCTTCGATGAGGATTCCAAAAGACATCATTGAAACGTTTTACTAAAATCTTTTTTATTTCAACATTCATTGCACGAGAAAGTACCATGAATTTTGTTAATTGTCTTGAAGGTATATGTTTGAATATTTCCAAGACAATTTCATTTGGTAATGATACTGATAATTTTATCGATTTTGATCTCATTTTTTTAGATATATATTATTAATTTTTTTTTTAAAGGTGAAAATAAAAAAAGAATAAATAAATGTTTTTTTTTAAAAAAAAAACTTTAGAAACTTTTTTTATCGGAACTAAAAAAATATATATATATATATACTTTTTTTTTTTAAAATAAAAAATATAATCCGAGAAATGTATAGTATTTATATATTTATGTTTAGTGGTTTTGTGTTTGTGTCATGAAAAGAAAAAAAATCTACAAATAAGGATAGAAGGACCTTCAATTTTAATTAAAGTAATTTATTATTTATTTTGAAAAGACAAAAATAAAAAAATTAGGTAGTCTGATGAAAGGGTTGATTGATATTTTTTTAATAATGACGGATTTCGGATGTCGGATAGTGATTAATATAATTAAAGGTTATTTGTTATTCGATTAAAAGGATTGGTTTTTAGGGATTCTTGGTTTTTTTTTATTTGTTAAAAAAAAAAAAAAAAAAAA